GCACATTCTCATTTTTGTTTTTGTTTACTTATTACAATATACTTGTTTGATATTTTGTTTCTTTCTTTCCAAATTGTTTTGTAATTATTTAATTCCTTTTTCTTTCATTTTCTCTCTTATAATGTGAGTACAGTTGACCCATAATGTTCCATTCCTTTCAGGTGTACAACCTAGTGATCTGCCATATAATCCAACAATTCCATTCTTGGGTATTTACCCAAAGTTATTGAAAACACCAATTCTATAATTATGTTTTGAATAGGTTGTACCTATTTTAAAATATGGAATTGAAGAGAGAAGAGCCAGCAGCCCCCAATATCAGAAGCTGGTCTGACACTGATAGTTGGACTCAGTGGTCAGAAGCTGGAGAATGTCCACCACTTGGCCATATTCCTCTCCTGTGGGGCATGAGTCAGTCACCTCACAAAACATCAGCATCAGACAAGGACACTCTGAAGCCACAACTTCACTTTGTGTCATTACAGACAAAACAAGGCACTAAACAACCCACAGAATAACACACAACTCCCTGTGTCAGCCAATGTGAGCAATCGCTGCTTCTTTACCATGACTGCTCTCTCCTGACTCTGGTCTGGCCTGCCTGGAGAGGGGACTCACCGAGATGCTCAGCCATAGGATTTGCGTACATGTGGCTGACAACATGCAGTTGGGAGTGGACCCCACATCCATGGATCCTCTCCAAAACTCCCATCCAAAGCCCATGTCCCATAGGTTCTAACACCTTCATATTAAGATGTCCCACGGCCCCCAAAGGGGTGTGTTCTCTCTCACTGCAGTAGGTAATAGATCCAACTTGAATGCTCACAGGTCCTCCTGGTGGTCTTGGGCCCAACAATATTGAACCTTGTTACCCTTTTGTCTGTGAATATTGTTTTTCTGTTTTTTACTTTGATCATGCACATGTGTTTGTATCTTTGTGAATGTGTGGATCACATGCTGAAATTTCATGTACTTCTTTATGGGTTTTCATCATTAGGCCATGCTTAGAGAATTCTTCATCCCAGACTTGTAAACATTTCATGTATATTTTCCCCTCAGTGGAAATGAAGAGCAGAGGGTTTTGAAGGAGAAGGGAAATGTAGAGAATTGTCTGAATTTGGGTAAAAGTATGGGGAGGAGAACACATAAAGTTTCTAAGGTGGTGGAATCTAAGATGTCCATCTTCTGCTTTGTGACTTTTACAAGTATGTACAGAGCCTACGAGGTATCTGTTATATGTGTGTTCAGTAAATCCTCTCACTTGGACCCAGTGAAGACTTATGTGCCTGTTTAGGTTTATCCGCTGAATGCAAACAACACCAAGAAGACAGCCAAAGTAATAGAGACATCAGTTAGCTCCAGTAATGGGCTTTTATGACCTTGATGTGATACATTATGTTTTGGTTAATGTCTGTACACTTTAGCTGTTATAATGCAAGTTAATTAAACTTTCATGCTGTATCTTAAGGATATGTCTCAGACCAACATAGACAACTTCATAACTTCCATTTAAAGGCAAATTTAATTCACATACACCTATGAGTCACATAGTATCTTCTTTGAGGAGGATCCTGACAACTAAGAGTGTTCTAGGTACATCCTGTCTGAATAGTAGCTATGAGCCACTTATGGCTACTTAAATTCCTACTCATTTAAAACAATTAAAAATGCCACTGCTCAGCACACCAGCCCCATTTCAAGTGCCATCTGCATCTCAGGAACCACATGCATCTCATGGCCACCATACTGTACAGCGCAGATACAGAACAATTGCTTCTGCACAGACTGTAGTATTGGGTGGTACTACTCTCCATACTTTGTGAGTTTCAAGTCAGATGCATGAGACACATGTAAAGTGAAAAGATCAACATGATTTCTCTTACAGATGACATCAGATTTCTGTCTGGGATGTGAATACATATGAAGCTGATATGTCACAAAATCAAAGTCGGTTATGCCTGGGTCTGGGGCCTTCAGGGGCAAACTGTTTCCAGTTACAAAGGGGAAATCCCTGTCCCTCCACCTCCCTTCCCAGACTGGGGACCCTCTCTGCCATCACATTTCCAGGAGGTGAGGTCTCTTCTAGATGCACTCAGGGGCTAAAGTCAGAGCTGAGTTTTCAGAGGCAGGAAGTGCATCTCAGGGAAAAGGATTCTGCTGAGTGAGGAGAAGGCCAGGGCAGGACCAGCGGGAGACTCTCCCAGGGTTCTCAAAGTGTGGTCTGGGGAACACCTGAAGTCACTGAGGCCCTTTCACAGAATCCACAAGGTTAAAACTGTTATAACATCACTTAGACATTTTCACCATGTTGACACTCACACTGAGGTAAAACTTAACAAGAATGGAGGTGATGGGTCCACAAGGCAATTGTTATTCTTCACCATTACTTGCTTTCATAAAAAAACAAAAACACTCTTTCGGCCAACTTTCTGATCCACATTAACAGTCACGTGAGTATCTTGGCGGATGCTCTCAAGAGCAGTCACTATGCCTAGAAGAGAGGCAAAAGTCAAGTCTTATTAGTCCATGCTCCAAAGTCATTGCCCAGTTTCTAACTGTGATGACGAAGCATGGTTTTGTTTTTTGTTTCTTTGTTTTTTTTTTTTTTTTCCTGGTGCTTCCAACCATTTACTCATTTCTGTACCCAATGCGTACAGCGCACTGACCTATGTGGGACCTTCTAGGATCCCCTGCAAAGCCATGGAAAGCACAAGACACACTGAAGGGAGATCCCTGAGCCCCAAAGAAAGGCATGAAACCCCACAGAGCTCTTCCCAGAAAATCTTCAACTTGACTGTGCCTTTCCAGAACAGTTTAGAGGGACACCGTAATTGGGCTGATGGCACCATAAATCTCAACTTCTCTCTATGTAACATATTTCACTTTTCCAGGTTAAAAGACAGTTAAGTGATGAGGAACTAGAAACACCAAGGTCTCAAAGTCTCCATTAGGGGTGAAGACATGGGGCAGCAGGTAGCTGTGAGGACAGATCCACAGCCCATGGAGGGTGTCAGGAGGAGGTTGCTGGGCCGGAGCTTAAAGCCTGGGGGAGGCACCTGGTGCTCACCAACCCAAAAGATGAAGCACGGTTACATTGGGAATTTGAAATCACTAATGATCACCGAGATGGAAACCTTGTTGAGAACCTCAAGGCCAAGTTAAACACGTGTGGAGCAGTCAGCCCCAGATTTGATGTACAGCTGAAAGATCTACCAAAATGGCAGAAAAATCTGTTCCCTTCCCTCCAGTTTGGTTTCATTGTCCTGACAACCTCAGATGGCATCATGGACCGTGAAGAAGCAAGACGAAAACACACACGAAGGAAAATCCAGAGACTCTTTTTCTAGGGATGTAATACATACATGCAAATAAAATGACTCAGTGGAAAACAAAAAGAAGCTAACATCACACTAAACATCCCAGTTGAATCATCAAAAATTATTATCTTTACTAAATTATTCTCAAATCCATTTTTAAACATGTCTTACATGATATGTGAGATGGACAGTAGCACTTCTGCCACATCCCTAAGCTCCAAGGTAAATAATTCGTATGAAATTTGTATGAACTTAACTGATTAAGTGGTTTCATTTTTTTTTTTTTTCTCTACACAATGTCATTTTTACCTGAAGGAATGGATGACATAGAAACTTGTATTATTTAGACTGGGCAATTTGACAGGCAGTTTCTGGAAAATGAACAGGAATGTATCCATTCATGAATCAACTCACACAAGACAGCTGAGAATACTTGTTGCCTTGATGAAATGTAAGCTCTCAATTTTGGAAAACCTGTGATCCACCAACAAACCTGACAGGTTCTCACTACTGACAAATTTTTCTATTGGGATTTGTGGTAATATTAAAACAAATGTGACTTTCCAATAATTCTTTTCAGTTTCAACACTGAAACACCTTTAAGATTTTAGTGAAACAACACATTACTTAAAAAAAAATTCATGCGTTAGTACAAGATCCATTCAGTGCACAAGATGGACCTGTGGAGTTTAATGTAAAAGAAAAGGAAATAGCCAATGATACTGTTTAGGTGCCACTTCACCAATAACCTTAGAGAAAGTACAACTTGTGTAGTGTGAATATAGTATCAAAGCTGAATATCTGAAAAGGTTATGAAACCTACTGTCTCCCATATCTGTGCAAGGCTGTAAATGTTTTTCATATACTTGACCCAAAACAATGCAATAAATGCAGAAGCAAATCTGAACATCTAGTGGTTCAGGTAGTTAAGAAAAAGATTTGCAAAAATGCAAAGTAACAAATCCAACTCTTCTCACTACTCTGTTGATTTGGGGGAACTAATTTTTCATAAAAACAGGATTGCTGTTTTCATGCCATGGGTTATTAATATGATTCTAAACGAATTATTATTATTATTATTATTATTTTTCACTTTCTTAGAGATACAGAGTGAGCAGAGAGGGGCTGAGGGAGAAGAGAGAGAATCTTAAGCGGGCTCCAAGGTCAGCCCTGAGACCGAGGTGCGGCTTGATCTCACCACCTGAAATCAGGAGTTGCTGGCTTAGCTGACTGAACCACCCATGCGCCCTGATAAATTTTTTTAAACAGCCTTTTCCCTATTATGATCAATATTGATAGCTATAACCTACATTCACAAAATTATCGTTGGGGTCCTCAGTAATCCGTGAGACTGTAAAGATAACCTTCTAACAAAATGTTTCAGAATCACTGACACAGCTCCTGGGCCATGACTCAAGGAGACAATGTGACAGAGAGCACCCCGAGCAGTAGGTGAGGGGTCGATGTAAAGGCCGAGGTCCCTGTACCTGCCTCTCAAGGTTTCAGGCCCTAGTACCCTGTGTGGGGCCTGGAAGCCCAATGCTGGGGAGTCCCCTTCTCCGCGGGTTTCACTTCTCCCTCTCACAACTTGTGTCACCTCCTCCTGCCTGGATACTCGTGATGCGGTCCCAGTTCGCACTCCCATTGGGTGTCGGGTTTCCGTCGAAGCCAGTCAGCGGAACACCGGTTCCGGGTTCTGAAGTCCTCCCCAGACACGCGGAGACCCAGTTGCTCCTCAGACCCTGAGGGTCTGGACCATGGGGTCCCCAGTCCTCCTCTTGCTCCTGTCGGGGGCGCTGGCCGTGACCGAGACCTGGGCGGGTGAGTGCGGGGCGGGAGGAAAGGGCTCTGCGGGACCGGAGCGAGGGGACGCCCGGGCGGGGACGCGGAACCCTTGAGGAAGGCGCCTCTCCGCCGCCCCCGGCCCCACCCCTGCCTGTGCTCCCCCGTCCCTCCCCGCCTCCGCCCTGCTCTCCCCCACTCGGTGCCCCCTTCCCCTACCCTCCCGGCCGCCTCCACCTGGGCCCGGGGCCCCGCGCCCGAAGGAGGGTCGGGCGGGGTCTCAGCCCCTCCGCGCCCGCAGGCTCCCACTCCTTGAGGTATTTCGACACCGCGGTGTCCCGGCCCGGCCGCGGGGAGCCCCGCTTCATCTCCGTGGGCTACGTGGACGACACGCAGTTCGTGCGGTTCGACAGCGACTCTGCCAGTCGGAGGATGGAGCCGCGGGCGCCGTGGATGGAGCAGGAGGGGCCAGAGTATTGGGACCGGCAGACCCGGAACCTCAAGGACGCCGCACAGAGTTTCCGAGTGAACCTGAACACCCTGCGGGGCTACTACAACCAGAGCGAGGCCGGTGAGCGACAGGGCCGGGTCCAGGTCACCACCCCCAGGGCCTATCCAGGTGTCGGCGTCCGAGCGCCACCCTGAGGCTGCGGGACCCACCAGTACCCCTAACCCGGAACAACCGCGGGAACTTTCAGGCTGTTTTATTTTCTCTTTCGACTTAACCCCCTGCCTGTCGGGGCGAGGCCAGGGTCTCACACCATCCAGAGCATGTACGGCTGTGACGTGGGGCCCGACGGGCGCCTCCTCCGCGGGTACAGTCAGTTCGCCTACGATGGCGCGGATTACCTCGCCCTGAACCAGGACCTGCGCTCCTGGACGGTGGCAGACACAGCGGCGCAGATCACCCGCCGCAAGTGGGAGGCGGCCGGTGCGGCAGAGCATGAGAGGGACTACCTGGAGGTCACGTGCGTGGAGTGGCTCCTCAGGTACCTGGAGAACGGGAAGGAGACGCTGCTGCGCGTAGGTACTAGGGGCCGCGGGGCCTCCCTGATCTCCCCTCCCCTGGGGCTGGCTTCCCACCAGGAAGGGAAAATGGACTCAGTGGCAGAACACCGACCTCCCACGGGTGGGGAGAGGGAGATCCGCCTGGGTGTTCAGGTTCCTACTAGAGAGTGACTCACCCAGAGGGCCGCTTTTCTCTAAGGACAACTGAGGAATTCAGTCTCTCCCGGGAGGCAGGTGGGGACCATCCCTGCAATAACCCATCAGCGGTTCTCTTTGACCCTGGCAGCCACCCTGGGAACCATGGCTTAACATCTTAAGGCCTTTTTCTCCAGGGAGAACATCGTTGGAGGTCTGACTGGGTGTTTTGAGTCATTCACACCCCTGCCACATTCAGGACCATTAGTGTGCTCTCCCCCTTAAACCTACACCCTCCTAATCCTGGACTCTCTCCCTGATTCTAGAACTTTCCAGGATTAGAATATCCCAAGGGTTGGGTTGGTGACTGGGTTTTGTGCTTCTTCCATCCGAACCAAAACCCAGTCCATCTCAAGATGGTCACGTGAATGCCGTTGCAGTGGCCTATAAAGGTAAACCCAAGTGTGGATTCTCTGATTCTCTTCCTCAGAACCGCCCAACACACATGTTACCCGCCACCCCATCTCCGACCATGATGTCACCCTGAGGTGTTGGGCTCTGGGCTTCTACCCTGCGGAGATCACCCTGACCTGGCAGCGAGATGGAGAGGACCTGACCCAGGACACAGAGCTTGTGGAGACCAGGCCTGCAGGAGATGGAACCTTCCAGAAGTGGGTGGCTGTGGCGGTACCTTCTGGACAGGAGCAGAGATACACATGCCATGTGCAGCATGAGGGGCTGCCCAAGCCTGTCACCTTGAGATGCAGTAAGGAGGGTTTTGGGTAGAGCCTCTTCTCAGGGAAAGCAGAAGGCCTTCTAGAGAGAACTTCAGCAGGGCCAGGACACTTAACCGAACTCTGGACCCCTCACCTTTCCTCCATTTCCAGAGCCACCTCCTCCTACCAACCTCATCACATGGATCATTGCTGGTCTGGGTCTCCTGGGTCTCCTCATGGTCACTGCAGTGATTGGAGCTGTGATCTGGTGGAAGAAGTGCTCAGGTAAGGAATGGAGTGGGAGGATCTCAGGTTTCTTGTCCTGCTGGGGGCTTTCCTAGGTAGCAGACTGTCCTGCCTTGTTACTGGGAAGTACCACCCTCACAGATGAACTTGTCTGCTCTGGAACTGATCACGAACACTCACCCTGTAGTAAACACTTGGTGAAAATGAAGGACACATTTTCATCTTGTTAATTCTGGTGATGGGGACCTCATGCCCATCAGTCACAGGACAGAGAGGGAAGTCCCTGCTGAGGACAGAATGCCAGCAAGTCAGGTGACCCAGTGATTCCTCACCTCATTTTTCATCTTTTCTGTCATGTCCTGGGTGTTCAGTTACAATTCTGGAAGTTCATTTAGAACTGGGTCTAGGAGCTTCCTCTAGGATCTCATGGCCCAGCCCTGTCCCAGACCTCTGACATGATATTTTTTCCTCACAGGAGAAAAAGGACCAGGCTACTCTCATGCTGCACGTAAGTATGGAGGGGTGATCCCTGAGACCCTGGGATAGTGTAGCCAGGACCCCATGGGGAGCTCACACACCCCATAGCTCCTCCTTTAGTCTCTTCTCCTGTGGGCTCTGACCACGTCCTGTTTGTTCTCTTTTAGGTAATGATAGTGCCCTGGGCTCTGATGTGTCTCTCATGGCTGCTAAAGGTGAGACCCTGGAGACCCTGACATAGGAAAGGGTTGGGACACTAGGGACACTTTGCGCATGAGGGGGGCTGCTGAGATGTCCCCACTTAAAGGACTGACCTCAATTTGTACATTATTTTTTTTCATAGTGTGAGACCAGCTGCCTTGTGGGGACTAAGAGATGGAAGATTTCTTCACACCCCCACTTGGTGACATCAGCAACCCCTGACTTCTCTTTGTCCAGAAGATGTCAGAATGTGTCTGTGTTCCTTTGAGCATATGTGAGGACATGAGTAGATTTGCCCACCAGACCGCTCCCTATTCTGATTTTATTCTTCTTTCTGATGTGCTTTCCTGTTCGAGCAGAGGCAGGCTGGACCATCTCCATCCCTGTCTTTATTTCATGTTGGGCTGAGTACAAATGACTTTTTTCTGTATTGAAAATGAGAATCCAGACATGAGTTGTGTTTCCTAATTCTTCCATATGGGATTGATTACGTAATGAAAGAGGAGATTTGTAAAATTGAGACAGCAAATAAATGGAAGCACTGAGAACCTTCTAGAATCCATGCATTTACTGTGCTAAGTCTGTTGCGGGTGGGGTCAGAAGGCTGTGAGGACACAAGTGGGGTTGGGGCCTGTGCCCAGTGTGAGCTCAGTGACGTGCTCACTCCTCAGCTCGGTCATCTCTCTGCTCTGTGTTCTTTGCCCTTGTGTGGAAACTTGTATCACTAGGACCTGTGATCACAGGGACTTGGATATCACCTGTCACCGGGACCTTGTGCAGCAAGAGCTTTCTGTGACTGGGTCAGCCTCCCCTCGGCCCTGGGTTAGGTCATAGCCTCCATTCTGGAGTGGGCTTTTCTCATTGTTTCTCTTGAGCATCAGGCCGGCTCTTGCTCTTGTGTACAACTTCTTGTCCCATTCTCCCTGGGTGACCCTGTCAGTTATAGTAGCAGGTGTCCTTTGGGCTGTGTTCCCACAGGCCTAGGTTGTCCCCGGCACACAGGAGTCTCTGTAGTATGGAGAGATGAACTTTCAGATTCATCCATCTCTTCCCCACAATCTAGACCTGTTTTCTAGATTATTCTTAGGATTCTGGAGATAGAGGAGGAATCTGAAAGTTTCTCAGCCTTAATAAACATCAGTTAGTTTCTCTCTTCAGCTGCTCTGCCCTCTCTCCCCTACCCTAGTTCAATGATCCTAGCGCTGGCTTGGATCCAAGTTCATGGATCTATAAACCAGAGTCTAATGTAGATCTCTTTGTGGTTGGAGAAAGGACTCAAAAAGCCTGAGTACAGTGTTTCTGGAGAGAGAACTCTGTGTGTTGTGCTGTGCAGGAGAGATGGTGTGGGGGGAGGGGCTGAGCAGAGAGAGGGAGGGGAGGGCAGCCCTGTGAGGGGAGAGAGACAGCACTGATGGTGAGTGGGTGCACGTGGGGTGGGAACTGCCTCAGAACAGCTATGCCTGAGATTCATCTAGAAGATGGAGTCCTCTATCTGCTCATTCATTCACCTGATAATTGTGTGCCACATACAGGACATGCTATGTTTACATCTGGGCACCTGAGTGAGACTAAGAAGAAAGAAAATGTGCTGGTCTTATGGACAGTATGTTCTAGTGTAAGGGGCAGATTGTACACGACCATCGAACAATGTGGGGACTGGGCCAGTGACCCCCCCCCCCATGAAGTCAGGAATGCAAATATAGCTTTTGACTCCCTCAAAGCATAACTAATAGCCTGGAAGCCTCATTGATAATGTGAAGAGTCACTTAACACATGTTTATGTTACATGCAGAAAACAGTCTTCTAACAATGAATGAAGCTGCAAAAATTAGAAATCACAAAGAAGAGAAAATGCATGGACAGTACCTACTGTAAAAAAGTCCGCACACAGGTTAACATGCACCGTGCAACCAGTGTCATTCGGAGGTGAACTGTGTATTATGTAAGCGCAGTAATAAGGGAAGTGTTTAGGTTGGAAGTTGGCAGGCGCTGGAGGAAGAAGACCCAGTTAGCACCTGTGCTGGGATGGGGACGATGGCTTTTTTACTCCAGAGATCAGGGGAGCCTCACTGAGAAGGTGACCTCATCATGGATGTCTGAGGATATTAGAAGGCTTTTGAGTTTTCTTTGAGTGAGGAGTGGAGTTACCAGAATGAACAGATCAATGGGATTGACTTTCTAAGCAGCACCTGATTGCTGCTGTGAGAATCGAGAGGTGCAGGGTGAGTAACCAGTGGGGACAATGTAGGAAACCAGTGCTGTGACCCAGGAGGGGGATGTGGGATGTACATCTGGGGTTTGAGGAGGGAAGATATAGGAAATGGTTGGGTGTTGGATATTTACAGATGGACTTTGCAGCATTTCCTAACCACCAAATCTGGGTGGTGAGTAGGAGGAATCAAGGAGGGCATCCAGTATTTCAGACTGCAAGTAGAAATGGGGAGTGCCTTCCTTGGATATGGGGAAGATTCTTGAAGCAGGACATTGGGGGAAGCAGCATCACAGAAACCAGTTTGGGCATGTGGAATCTGAGATGTCCACTAGAAATGCACTGAGGTTGGCAGTTGGATACAGAGTGCAGGGGAGGAGAAATATCCGGATTAGAGAAATAGATTTGGGAGGAGACAGCCTATACATGATGATTAGAGCCTTCAGCAGAGATGAGGTCACCAGCAGGGCGAGGGCCATAGAAGAGAAAGGAACAGGACCAAACCCTGCACTCCTCAGGGCTAAGCAGGCTGATCAGAGCGCACACCCAGAGCGCACTGCACAGTCTAGTTCTGCGTCTAGAAGGCACAGAGACCAGGGAGGCCAAGGCTTCAGTGTGCACAAGAATTTCCTGGACTGCGAAGATCTAGACAGTCTGGGGTAGGCACGAGATGCTGGGTTGATAACAAGGTCGGTGCTGCTGCTGCTGGTCTTCAGATCCCACACGGAGTAGCAAGCACAGGAAGCAGGATCCCCACATGGCCCTGCATCAGCCTCTCCTGTAGGGCTCATCATGTCAGTGATTCCTGGACCCACAGCCAACATTCTAAGCTGAGGGGGTCTGGGGAGAGGCCTGATTATTTGGTAACAAAGCCACAGGCAATCCTGTGACTCCACCAGATAGAGAAGCACTGAAGTCATTGATGAGAGCCCTCATTGTGGGAAGGGGTTTTACAGACACATTTAAATGTTTCTTTGTGGATGTCTGGTTGTCCCACTCTTAGTTTCAGCTCAGGTCATGACCTCGGGGTCATGAGAACTAGCCCATGTTGGGCACTGCACCCAGTACAGAGTCTGCTTGAAACATCTTCCCTCTCCCTCTATCCCTCCCTGTCTCTCTCGCGCATGCTCTCTCTCTCTCTCTCTCTGTCTCAAATAAATAAAAAAAATCTTCAGATGTCTTTTTGTAGGAAGAAAAATGCAAGACATGCTGGGAGATGCATTTTTTTCTCTCCTGTAGAGCACAGCCAGGTGGCAGACTGAGGGAATTTTCATCTCAACATAAAAGGTCTGAGTTACCGAGAGTGTAGATCTTAAATTTCTGCATCACACAAAAGGAAATGGTAACTATGTGACATGATGCACGTGTTAGCTAACGTTATGGTTGTAATCAGTGTGCAGTACAGAAATGTATCAATCAGCAGGTTGTACCCTAAACTCACACAATGGTGTATGTCAATCATATCTCTATAAAGTTGGTAAAAGATGTCTGAAATCTTGTTCTTGGAAACTCTTCCCTATGTGGGTTTCTGACTCCTTGTGATACATACATACAGTTACAGAGAGACGTAGGGAAGAGAGAGAATACATCGGACCTTTTTTATTTCCAGGAAAGCCACAATACAGGCTTGAGACTACACAGCCAGAAGCTAAATCCACACTGGACCCTGGACGGAGACCCACAGACAACCAGCTACTGGGTATCGACACCACTGACTCTCCTGAGGGAGGCCACTGGACCCTGGGGCTGGGACTGCTATTGCTGCTGCCCCTGACAGCTGCATGACATGACTGTGACACTCCTCAAACCCCCTGTGCCTAATGCATGGATACTTGCCCAGTGTTCCTGTCACATGTCCGGAGTCAGAGTCTGGCACGTGACTGTTGAAGCTTCATATCATGTCCAAGTGCTGGACTGTTTGGCAATATGGGTTCTCCTCTCTGTGGATGGAGGTGTCTGTGCCCCCAATAAGATTATTGATGTGTGGCATTCCTGCACATGGCAAGAGAGGTACCAGTTTTGGGAATAGACATTGGGAGCCAGGAATGGAAAAGAATGACAAATTTCCACATTTGGAGCCATGATCTGAGACTAAGACTTGATCTGGACACTGTAGGCACTCAAGTCTGCTTGGATGAGGAGTGACTCATAAATAAACTCATCTTTCAACTTATTGATGGTTGTTATGGGCCCAGGTTTGTCCACTCCAGTCCCTACTCACAGATGAGTGTAGTAGCATTGTTGGGTCATGAAGTGATTGCTCAACACGTCTTCTTCATCCTTTGTCTCTTCCTGGGATTAAAAACTCAGATGTGTGTCACTTCAGATGATCCTCAGATACACACTGATATTTGATGTTTCTTTCTATATATACATATTTCTGGGGAGAGTATCCATAATTTCATCAGGTTTATGTGACTTCCACAAAAGTCTGAAAACCATTCCCGTGTAGACACTGCCTATTTCACCTCTGGTCCGTGAACAGCTAATGATCACAGTGTTTCAGCAGATCCAATGACGTGATATTCATCCTCATTTTTGTTTGGAAATAACCAGTCTCAGACAGGAGAAGTTAGAGATTTCTGGCTTATACTCACTTTCAACTTCTGTGTGTACTTTCTGTGGGCTGAGTAACACTTCCTGACCAGGGCTGGTTCACAGGAGACACAGATCACCATTGATTTAGGTGACTTACACTTTAGCACCGACTTGGGTGCCTAAAAAAGAGAAGAAATGAAAAATACTTACTGAGGATTCCATTTCCACCTATGCAGTAGACCAAGGTTTAAGGCTGCCCCTCTCCATGTGAGGTGATGAGCACTGGTGTTATATGCAACTGATGAATTATTGAACTCTACATGTGAAACTAATGATGTACTCTGTTGGCTAATTGAATTTAAATAAAAAAATTTTTTAAGAAATAAAGCTGCCTCTTTTCCCAAAAATGAAAATGATAGAAAAAACATAAAATCACCCAAAAGTGTAGAACAATCAAGAGAAATATCAATTAGCCCAAAATTTAAATATGGGCTGTAAGCCCCAGAGAATAGTTGTTCTGATCCATAGAGTATTTTTCAAATCTAGAAACTCTTAGCTTGGCTTCTCAAGCTCAGGAGCTTCACAGATAGGAGACAATGCCCAGAGCTGCTCCATGTGAGGAGCAGAAAAAACATCCTCTCCCTGAAAATCTGGGAACCTAAGATTCACGTCCTCAGAACAGGGTGACACAAATCAAATCTGTTCTATCTTCAAGTGCAAGAGCATTCTGAGGAAATTTGCCTTTGAGTCAGGAAAAAGTGAGCAAACAGCTATTTCAAAAATTTGCAGACACTGACTAACCCGTCTGTGA